GGGAGAAAAGAAAGTTATATACAACTTGAGGCCCCTATCCTGCAAGTACTTATACCTGTGCTTGATTTTACTACTGCAAGTAGTCCCATTGCTATTAACGGGACTACTTGCAATAGTAAAGTTAGGCATGTGTTGAAGTGTTGGCAGGATCTGAGCCAAGACTCCCAAAGAAGCTTTTCACTAGGAAGAGCTGTGGCATCCCCTAGAAGTTTGCTGTGCATCCTGTTATATGACAATACCATAAAGACAGCATCAGATTTCTAGGTATGAGGTCTGCAGCCTACTCAATATCTGTTGTAAACCAAATACATCCTAACTTTCAAACCAAATGTTTTTTCAGACAAAACAATTTATTTTAACAGGTTCAAAAATGTAACTGAACAATTTTTTTAAAAAATAGCAGAAAGTACATAATCTTTTACCTCCAACTCTAAAAGCTGGGTTGATTTAGGTGATGCTTTTAAAAACAAATCCCATTTGGGCTGAGAACAAGCAGGAGAAAGTTAGTCTCAAAAGAAAAATTGCAAACTCCTCACTTCAGTTTTTCCTAATTCAGTGGTTAAGTTTGACCCTAATTATAGTGTTGATGTCTATGCTACATAACTATACATATAGCTCATGGGACCTTTCACACATGCCTTACTCCTCTGCTGAACCAGAGTGTAGCGGGGTGAATGCCTGCTCCAGCCCTGAAGGGGTGGGAAAAGCCCTGCAGAGGGCTAGGGCTGTGTAACGGGGCAAAACCCTGGCTGATTGGGAAAGTGGCTGCAGCTGGGGCCACGCCCCAAACTGAGCCACTCAGCCTTATAAAAAGGCCAGGGTAGGCAGAGTAGAGGGGTCTCCCTTTGACGGGAGGGAGAGAGAGAGAGAGAGCGGGCGGGCGGGCGGGCGGGAGGGAGACCTACCTACCTACCTACCTACAGGGAGCTCACCTGGGGACCTAGAGTAAGGCAGGGCTGGGGAAAGGCCTTGGGGACAGGGAAGCCCTAGGCCAGCAACTCCCCAGGCTGCAGGGCCTGGTCCTAGGCCCAAATAGGTATTGGGGTTGCACAAGGGCAGCCAGAGGGTGGGTAAAGGCAGCCAGTCCAAACCCCTTGTTGCTGGTGATTGGCTGATAGACTGCAGTCTGCCCCAGGGCATGGGGGCTAGATGGTGACTGGCAGTAGCCACAACTGAGGTGACATTGGGATAGGGGGTGGTGAGACCCACAGAGAGAGTGGGGTACTGCCAGGGGAGGCAGCACCTATGCCAAGGGCTCTGGGGTCTGGGAGGGACACAGGGGCCAAAGACAGGCGGGACACCTGGCCTGCAGAGGGTGCTCTGGAGGCTGGTGAGCTAATTCCCGAGATGACCAGCAGGAGGTGCTGCAGGGGTGAGTCCACGCCTGATTACAGGTGTGAGAGAGGCATCCTGTGGGAAAAATAGTATGTGATCATAATTAGACTGGCTAAAATGTTAATAGTCACCTAAGTGACTTAAGATCCTAAATCCCATTTTCAAATATGATGTAAGAACTTTGGAACATGATTTCTATTTACTTTCAATTTAGTATCATAAGTTTAAAAATGGGATTTAGTATCCAAAGTCACTTAGGTTCTTTTGAAAAATTTACTCTGTAGCATAGTATATGCTCATCAGGGGCCAAACTTAAGATCTTCCTTTATTTGGGCTTTTCTGTTCTGCCACATGTCTCCTCACAATGCATAAGCAGAACAAAGTGACCCCTTGGCAAACTGGAGAAAAGGGGCTCATGGTCTCTTGGCTCCCAGCCCAGTGTTTCTTCCCTTAGCCCAAATGGTATTTTGATACAGGAGCGTGAATTTTGTTTGTCTCCTAGAACTTCCTAACATCACTTTTGAATGATGCTATAAGCTTAGAGTAGCCCAAGAGTAGTATGATTTAACCAACAGAATAACTGAGCATTTAATAAACTGTAATGGATGTGTATAAGTGGCAATTTTCTATGGCTTGTGACTCAACTGAATCTCAGTGGATTTTGATGGGGACAATGCAAGGCACCTCTCTGACCTCAGCATAGTCTTTTCTACCAAATTCCTGCTCCAAACCCCTGAGGTGAGTGCACCTTTCTATGTGGCCATTGGATCCCTACTCACTCTCCAGATTTTTTTCCTCAGCATGCCTTTTGGGGAAGGGTTGGGGGTCATTAGCCCTTTAAATGTGGCAGATACAGCCTGCTCTAGACCTGAAATGGTCATCTTATATCCAGCTGCTGCTTGTTGCACTGCCCTGTCTCCTAATTGGTAAGAATTCTTAATTCCTGTTTTACTTCCCCCCTAGTTTTCCCTTTCTTATTCCTGAGTAGATGGTAGGTTCTCATAGGGAATTGATTTGTACATGTGTAACTGAAGGCAGAATTTGCTCTGCAGAGCCTTTACTACCAGTGGTGATGTAAAAGGTGGAAGGAATTCTTCTTCATGGTCAGAGCTTAGGGTGAGTTTGCAGAGCAGTTAGTAAACATAAATAAACCTTTTTAACTTGTGAATTGAGCATAATTCATATGGAGTTACTGAGAGACACCAAACATGGTACCCGACGATGCCCTGTTTTACAGAAGCACTTTTCAGAGTTGACCCTCACTGTACTGTTGGCTCTTGAGCTTTGGAGCAGTGTTAGTGTAACTCTGAATCCTGTAGGGTTACAAAGAAAAGGAGTGAAGCAGAGGTGTGGGAGCAAGCCAGATAAGATGCAACTCATCTAGTGACGGGGGGAACCTTGAAAAGGCCTTGGGGGAGGTGCACAAAGTCCAGTGCTAGTCTGAACCTCTTAAGGCTATGAAATTTTTGGAGCCTAATACCTTGTACATAAATCACTAGCTCTACACCATGGGGAGGAACTGTACATTAATAGAATGATCTACAAATAGCATCTCTTGCATCTGAAGAAGTGAGGTTCTTACCCACGAAAGCTTATGCTCCCAATACTTCTGTTAGTCTCAAAGGTGCCACAGGACCCTCTGTTGCTTTTTACAAATAGCATAGTAATTTAAATTGCTGTACAGCATCCCAGGAGCCTCAAGCAGCTGGGAGAAGGAGTTGCTTCATAAGCAGAATTGTGGCAGCCAAGCCACGGGAATCTTCGGAGTTCTTCCTGCACAGATGCATTGCCTTATGGTTGCCCAAACAGCAGGCTCAGTGATTGCCTTGGAAAAGTGCTGGATATGTCTCCCTTTATGGGTGTTGTCAGATGCTGGGAAGCACACTGGGACTGGAGGATTGCTGGGGTCTGCTTGCTTGGCTTCGGTGTGGAAAGCAGCTGTACCCAATCGTAGTGCTGTCTGAGCACTGAATGTCCGCATTCTGTCCAGTTGCTCTGCAGGTGCAGTAATGACAGTCCCTTCTTTCCCAGGTTCCAGCACACAGGCAGCCAAAATGTAGTTCCCTATGAACAGAATGAGTTGCTCCTGGTTCATCTCCATCACTAATTCTTACAGTTCTTGCTGCTAACTGAGTTCTGACCCTCCCCACAAGTGTAAAATAAGCCCATCTAGCTTTCCCCCTCAGCAGTCAGTAGTCCTGGCCAGTCTATATTAAATCATTTATAATTCACACAGCATGGATATGGCATGTTTATGCTTAATCATGTCAACCTAGTTTACTTTGATAGCAAAGAAAACAGTGTACTTTATGGTCCATTTACAATGTTCAAGGTAACTAATGCTGATTTATATCCTTCCAGTGTGAAATCCTAGTCTGTATTTTCCTGGGAACTGACCTGCCATTTTGACCTCATAAGGACCAGAGTTGGGCGGAACCAGTTCATACCACTACCTATACTTTCCTCCAGAGATACCTATATGCCTGCTCACTAAAGGGAGCAACCTACTAATGCCTACACTTGTTTTCCTGGCTTTTTACATATTTAACAAATGCACAATATGAAGGACATAGCAGAAAAGATAAAGTGACCTGTGATGGGAATCAGTGCTTTGCCTTGTACGAAGTTTTCTGTAATCTCACTTGGGAAATGTTGATTCTTACATGTCAATACTTTGCAGAAAAATAAGAAAGTTCCTAAGGGGAAGCGAGATCCTTTGAGTTTAAGATGAGCAATTTCACCATCCTTATGAGGTACAGTTCAGAGATGCATAGCAATGACACTGGACTAAGTAGACTCCAAGTCCATTTGGAAGGCACCTTTCATGCTCTCACTTTTGCTTAAAATTAGCACCAATTACTGCCTTTTGCCATGCTACATACCCCAAACCCTCTCCCTCATATACTTTATTGTAGCACAAACTGTCCCGGTTTCAACAGCATTGGCAGAAGTGTGCATACCAAGTTTTTGAAAATGATTATTAGTGGAACATCAAATGAGTGATACTCCTGTGGGGATAGGGAGATTTAAAAAAAAAAACCCACAATGCTTGTTGAATCATGCTATGGAGTACTCCCACTGCCACACTTTCTGATCATAACTTTATCATTACAGTAGTGTTTAGGATCAGGGCCCTTTGTGCTAGCACCATGCAGACAAATAACAAAGAAGACAGTTTCTTCCCTGGAGAACTTATAGTGCAGGTATCAGACAGAAAGCAACAGGTGCTCAAAACAGACAAATGAGATGGTGGGTGGGAGGAAGGACATAAAACAATCACAATTTAGCAGAAAAATAGGAATCTTAGTGGGGGGGGAAACAGAAAATCATGTATCTGATTAACTTGGCCTTAACTCTCACACTATGCTTAGGTGGACAATTATTTCCTCAGATTTTATTTTAACATATTAAATGGACCATGTTTAATGCTGTCTTAATAGTGAACACCTCACTATGAATATTCAGTACTTGCTACTCCGATTGTATTGGTGAATTGTCATTGGTCATATAAGATTCTAGGCAAAAGTGAATCCATTAAGGGGGGGGGAGCAAATATTAACAGAATGGATAACCCATGGTAGGAAAAGAAAGTTTCAATTCCTCTGTAAAGCATGAGCAAACACACACCAGCATTTCACCACTTGAAAATTAATCAGCGGAGCCTGCCTGCTCTGTGTCTCCTCAGTTTGATCTCACTGATTACAAGCTGGAAGAGTCTTCATCTGAAAAGTCAGAAAATATCAGCTACACAATAGTAACTTTTCTTTGCATACCTCCCCACACACATACTCCATTTTCATTATTGTTGCTGAGTTGTACATGAATGAACTGCCAGTGCACTTCCCTCTCCATCAGTCTCTCCTCATTAATAAAGCCCTATTGATAAAACTTTCACATTCTTTACTCTCAGAAATGTTGGCAAATAACATGTGGGAGGCATGGTTCTGGGTCAGTGAGTCTTTTGATCTCACCTTTGACATCCTCCACCTTCAAGAGCATCCCACAATCTGAATAATGGCAGAGAGAGTAAATGTATAAGGTTTGCGGATGATACGAAGCTGGGAGGGATTGCAAGCACTGTGGAGGACAGGATTAGAATTCAAAATGATCTTGACAAACTGAAGAAATGGTCTGAAATAAATAGGATGAAATTCAATAAGGACAAATCCAAAGTATTACTTAGGAAGGAATAATCAATTGCACAAATACAAAATGAGAAATGACTGCCTAGGAAGGAGTACTACAGAAAAGGATCTGGGGGTTATAGTGGATCACAAACTAAATGAGTTAACAGTATGATGTTGTAAGTAAGACATGAGAAGAAATTCTTCTGCTCTTCGGCACTGATAAGGCTTCAATGGGAGTACTGTATCCAGTTCTAGGCACCACACTGGGAAATATTTGGACAAATTGGAGAAAATCCATAGGGGAGCAATAAAAATTATTAAAGGTCTAGAAAACATGACCTATAAGGAAAGATTTTTAAAAAGTGGTTTGTTTAGTTTGGAGAAGCGAAGAGAAGACTGAGGGGGAATTGTTTAGTCTGGAGAAGCGAAGAGAAGACTGAGTGGGAACAAGATAAGTCTTCAAGTACATAAAAGGTTGTTATAAAGAAGTGAGTGATAAATTGTTCTCCTTATGCACTGAGAACAGGAGCAGAAGTAATGGGCTTAAATTGAAACAGGAGAGATTTAGGTTAGACATTTGGAAAAGCTTCCTAACTGTAAGGGTAACTAAGCACTGGAACAAATTACCTAGGGAGGTTGTGGAATTTCCATCATTGGAAGTTTTTAAGAACAGGTTAGACAAACATCTGTCAAGGATGGTCTAGATAATACTTAGTCCTGCCTCAGTTCAGGGGACTGGACTAGGTGACCTATCGAGGTCCCTTCCAGTTCTGCATTTCTATGATTCTATATTTATTTATTGAGCATGGATAATGTATTTTGCTATGTGCAAGACACAAAGACAGTTCCTTAGAGAAGAAGATGAGACAGGACACACAGGTGAGGGTAAGCTACAATGCAGATTTTCTCCTCCTTTTAGATTTCCTCCCAGCTTGAAGGCCTTCCCTCTGGGCTTGATATTGCTGCTAAGTGTTGCTGGCAGGCCATGTCTCTGCCCCATCTCTCCAGGATGGATCATTAACTTCTTTATGCACTGGTCTACTGTGGCTTTTCCACCCCAGAGTCAAAGGGGAGTTAAAAGTGAGGTAGGTAAAGAGTAAGCAAGCTACCACAGAGTCAGAGACTGGGACAAAAGAGGAAGGAGAGTATTGGGGGAGAAGGGGATGTGGCAGAGGGTGACTAAAGAAACTCATGCTAGACCTTGTTGATCTTGACTTTGAAGTCACTGTGATTCTGGATAGATCGGGAAAGGAGGGAGGAAGTCTCAGGTGGCAAGTAGGCTTCTGGGCTGGGCAGTGTGCTGGTACCCAATATCTACGCGGTGCAAAAATATAAATTGAAGATGGGAAGATTAAGACATTCCTAAAACTTCATGTTCGGGTAGATTTTTGCCAAGGATCCTGTCTTTTGGCCTTTTGAGTTTTAACAGGGCAATCCTATCCATCATAGTTATAAACAAGTTTACCCAACAATTAAGTTTTAACTAGCTGAATTAGAAAGTGTAATGCTTAATTTTTGGATTTGGATCAGATTTGAAAAGATTTGATTTCCACATACCTAATTTTCCTTGGAGCCAATTTAAATGGAGACTGATTCTTCAGTTATGGCATAGCTTCACCACGCTGTCGGACTTCTAATTTACTGAGGCTTGATTTAGCCTGATAATTTGCTGAATTCCTCAGTTAGCATTAAAAAAGCTAGATGTGAGTGACTGAGTTGTATAAAGAAAACAAGAATATCATCTGTAGACAGTGTTGTGTCTTGTCATTGGATAAATCCCTTTGCTTTGGCTTGTACTTTTGATGATTTGCTCAAGGAGTTCAATGATTAAATCAAGTAACATTGAGACGGGATAGGATGAAGGGCAAGAACAGTGGCTTGTGGGATTGCAGAAAATATGCTACTCCAATTTTCAAATATTTATCCCTAACTCTCATTTAGTTAAAATTTGGAACTTCAATGGCCATTCCACCCAATCAATTCTTTGTTAGAGTCCACAGAAATAGTGTAGTGATGATCTGTTAATATTAGAAAAGAATATGAAATATACATCCCTTCTTAAATTGCCAGAAGATTTACAGCTACTGACAAATAGAGCTTGATTTTGGCTGATTTAAATATGGAAATAATTTATCCAATTGAAATGTTAGTACTTTTGCCAAGAGTCTTGACTGAATTGATCAAAAGTATTGCTCTAGGTACTAGGCATGCAGACTTATTCCCAGATTTGGCGATAAGGATTCTGGCTTTTAAGATTTTTTCCCCCCTGTGATATAGACTCTCCTGAAGTGACTACTTCTTGGATTCTGTAGAAACCTCAGTTTGATGCTGCCTAAGGTGACCATATTTTCAAAACTGAAAATCAGATCCCAGTACTCTGTTCTTCTGCCTATGTCATCCTATCCTTTAGTATGTTAACCTCTCTTTGTCCTTGCTGCTGTTTGCTTCTGCACCACACTCTTTATCTTTTATTTTTAAACTCGGCCTAATTCACTTTGTCTTTCCCACAACTCAAAGTCTTCACTTGGGCCCTGAACCAGCCCATATCAATATAAATGGAAAGATTCCCACTGATTTCAACAGGCATTGGACCATCACCAGGCCTTTATACAAGTGGTGTGTCTAGGAATGTAAATCTGGGTGGGTCCCAGTTTATGGTGGATAGTCAAAGACTTACCCTGGGGACAGGTCTTGGGGTTGGAGACTTAATTTCCCTGCATCTGCAAGGGGAGAGGAGGCTTCTGATTTGTTGCTGGAGGTGGGGCAGGGACCAAGGTGGCGCCCCCTCCCTTGAGTAGCTCTGGCTCCAGGTAGCCGAACAGGGCAGGCTCTTTAGCTCAGAGGGAGCCATCAGTGCAGAGCACCTGGGGTTTCCCCCACCAGGCTCTGTGGTAGACAGCACCCCAGGTCAGACAGCTGGGAATACTCCGCCTTCTGCTGCAGGTGGCTGTGCTCAGGGAGAGAGAGAGTCCACAATATAGCAGATTCTAGAGATAGTCCACGATATAGCAGAAGAGGATGTGGTCGTGGTCAAAGAAGAAGAGGGCCATGCTGCCCCAGGGCAGCTTGCCCAACTGCTGCTGCAAGAACAGGCACAGAATAATGAGTCCTGTACCAACATAACCATGCTGTGCCACGTATATCCTGCTTGGCCACATTCAGGTCCACGATCTCCAGGAAGGCAGCCAAGCCCATACCTCCAACACCACCAGTCCCCGCCAATGGGGGGACACAGTCCCTGGGCTGTCCCCCCCCCGGCACTGTCTGCCAAGTCCATCCCGCAGTGAGCCCACTGCGACCAGGGAGTTTCCATCTCCTTCCCTTACTCTAACAGGTGCTGGGGAACAGCATCCTCTCATCCTCCAGATGGTGGGAAGAGTCTCCTCTTGCCCCCTTTCACTGTCCTCTGGTCTGTGCTGGCAGAGACTCTCACCCCTTCCCTTGCTCTGGGAGCTGGCAGAGCCATGTCTTCACAGGCTTAGATTTGGATGGACTTGAGTGCTAATTGGATGGGCCATATCCTACATGTGGCTACACCACTATTTTATACTACGTCCACCTCCTAGTTTTTCCCTTCGTTTGTTTTCTCACTTTAGTTTGGCTCCTTGTCTTTTTTTTTTTTTTGCCTTCCTCCAACTGAGTAGTAGGTTAGCCTGAAAAGGTTTTGAAAGATCACCCGCTCACTCTTTCCCCTGGATATCTGTCCCTCTCCATCAATGCCCCTTCATTTCATCTCCATGATCAGCCAGAAGATGGTCCCACCAAAGCCAGAAAATCCTCCTGAAGCACTGCCTTGGGGCTGCGGTGCTGTTTTCTTCTGTGTACCCCTCCTACCTGCATAGCTGAGAATCTGCGAGTGGGCACACAGTGAGCAAGGGAACAATTGCTAGAAGCATGAGTAGGCTTTTGCAGCTATTTTGAAGCCACAACTCTTAGTGGCATAGGTAGAGGGTCAGAAGATGTCCCAGGGTCTCAGTGAAGCTAGACCCCAGTTTCCCTAGAACAAGCCTGGACAGTAGAATTTTCCCTTCAGTTGGGAACATCTGATCACCCTTCTCCCTAAACTGAGGGAAGCAGCGCCTGTGCATAGGGTAAGTGTGAAGTCAGCACTCTGGGTTTGTCTAAGCTTACAATGCTACGGCAGCACAGCTGCAGCTGCACCACTATAGTGCTTCAGTGTAGACACTTGCTACAGTGATGGGAGGGGTTCTCCTGACGCTGTCATTAATCATCCACCTTGCGAGGTGATAGAATTCTTCCATTGACTTAGCACCGTCTACACTGGGGGTTAGGTCTGCATTGCTGCATCTCTCAGGGGTGTGGATTTGCCACCTCTAAAAAAGACGTAGCTAGGCCAATGTATGTTTTCGGTGTAGACCTGCCCTGAGTCTTTCCTCCCCAAATCAGGACATTCTAAGTAGCTACTCTAGCTGTCTATATAAGGCAACAGCAGCCTGGGGCACCACCCTGCTCGTATCGAAGTCAGTGGGAATTTTACTAGTTACTTCAATATTAACAGGATTGGGCCCTGATTGAGACCTGGGGTATCCTAAGTAGCTGTAAGAATGCACCATTCTGCCTGTGTAGATATGCTACATGTATATGAAATTCTGTCATTGCTTTGATACCCAACAAAGGGTTTTCTTTTCTTTTTTCTTTTCTTTTGTATTTATTTGGCTTTTGTCAAGCTTATTGTAAGGTAGCCAGTTTAATAAAATGTAATGACAATAAACATCCAAGCTTGCCTATGCCTTAATACTTTGCTTTCCACTTAGCACAGAAACTGTGCCTGCCTGCAAGAAAGATAAAGGAGGGAGTAACTTCTAAGCCAATAAAATAGTTTTGTATTATATTCTTGTCAAGTTATTTTCTAACTTAGTTTTTGTCTAGCTCCATTGCCAAAAATAGCACTGACGGCAAAAGTGTCCTTAATATCAGTAGCAGTATGACATGCCAGTAAAATCTGACTTGATTTCACTGAAATAAACCAACTAGCTCTTTTTTTGTTGTTAATTTCTCCTAAAGAGCTTTTAAATATCTCTTTAAAAAAAAAAGGAAGACAAAGAGCATTACTTTTTCTTTAATCAGCAGATCTCTCGGCTGACTCTACGTTTTGTTTTCATGCTGAAGGGGAAAAATATTTTCCTGGCAGGTTTAGAATGATTTTTCTGATGATCTTTTCTTTTGGAGCCAACATACATTTTTTCACAAATATCTGATCTGACATAATACTGTACCTGGAATTTCACACCAGAAAGAGTCATATTTACTGCAGCAAGCACTTGCAACTAGGCTACAAGCCCTCCAGCAAAATATGAGAAGCCAAAAGAGAAATGTAAATGTGTGTGGGGGGGGGAGGGAAGGCATCATTTCCCATAGGAAAGAAAGCCATGAAATGTCTGCTATCTATGAAAGCATTTCAGAGATCAAGTGATGGAATGTTATATACAGACATATGTGCCAACCATTATCATCTTTGAAAATTATCTCAACAGTTTGAAATCCTGTTAATTAAAAAAGAAGTAAAAGAGATGATGACTCTCTGCATGGAGCAATACAAATGTTTCAAATTGATGTGACTCAAAGCAAAAACTGCATGCTCCAAATAAAAATACACATGTGCACTGTTCTGAATTTATGAAGGACTTTGATTTGATATAAACCACCATCTCACTTTTTGGAGCTTACCAGTGTTTTCTTTCATAAATGTGTTTTCTTCAAAGCTTGAGTATCTCCAGTCAATGTAGTCGTCCAGATGTGGAATGGATTTCCTATGCACTTGTAGCATGAACAAAATGTGATGACTTTTTGCCTGGAAGCCAATGAAAAAAAGAGAAACATTTTCAAATTCCAACCAACTTCGGCTTTCAAAAAGATTGACTAGGATGTGTCTTGGAGAATTCCTAGGCCTCAGCAGACAAATACAGCTGCCTTGATATATGTCAGGTCATTGTTCTGCAACTGAAAAGCTGTAGCTTTGTCTGTAGCAGTATGGACATTCACAGGATGCTGCCGTTCCTACGTATGCATTCTTACTTTTGTACCTGCTGCAAAGCACAGTAAACTATACAAAGGACTTTGGTGTGCTATTAATAGGCTTTCTTTACAGTCCTGTACTTGACAGAGATTTATATAGTGTTTGTGGTGCTAGAAATCCAAGTCCAGTGCCTGGATGGGATAGAGGAGTCCACCTTCAAAGATTTTCCACTAAGAGGAGAACTCTGAAATGTACAATAGTACAGTAGCTAAACTTTTGTTATCCAAACTATTCATGGCCCCTTTGGCATTCAAATAATGAGGAGCAACCTGTTGGTAAGCTTCACGTTAGCCATGTTGAAACTACAATGTGACGTGGCTTTGGGAATAATCTAAGCAAGTGCCAAAAAGGACAGGCACTCCTTGACCACCAGTGTGTGTGGAGCTCAGGGATACTTTCAACTGTCACTGCCCCTCTGTGCCTGCTGTGCAGAAATTTGGGGTCACTAGGTCTGTAAACATAGATCCCATACTCCTTTCTCCAGCAAACCCTGTAGGGAGCTCTTCAGCACCAGGGCTGAGCTCTCCTTCACAGTTTTTTGTGGGGTGCAATGGTCTCCTGTGGAGCCCTCAATCAATGCTTGCCTTGCCAGGCAATCCAACGTATGGCTTAAGTAAAGGCCCTCCGTAGCTGGGTGAATTTCACTCTGATAGAGGCAGCCATTATATGCAGATTAGTAAACAAGATCACTAAGTTTTACATTATATTATAAATTCTAGTGAATCCCGTTTTTACTATACATTGGTCTTTGTTGGAGCTTATGCTGTATTTGTACGACTGTCTGCCCAACAGTTTCTGAGAATTGAAAGTGTGAAAACAACAAATAAAGAAGTTATGAGGGAAAACCCGCTGCCTTTATTTGAAATCTGTTCCCAAATCTGCGGCTGGCTAAACTTCACCCAGATGTTATTATGTGGTTATGGATTTTGGATGTTCTTTTTGCTGACAGTGAAGCCAACACACACCCATCCTGCAAATGATCTGCTGGGGGAAAAACAACTATGCACCACAGTTAAGTACAAAATTCAAAATAGAGACATAAGCCTCTTTTGGCACAAGTCTGTACTCTCTAGACAGTGCTCCTAGTGAGAAGGGAAAAAATCGGAGGCCTTGTGTAATCCTGCAACCCAGGACTGAGTTGGCCCATAACACAAACTAGTAATAAGCAGGATGAACATTACTCAATCATAATTTTCTTTCCCCATCCTAACCTTCTTATTTCTTTCAAATTTTCTTTCCCTTTAGCCTTCTTTCTCTTTCAACACTTGTGTACTTCTGTTGTCTAGTTCCAATGAAAGAGAGGAGAAACCTTTTGTTTTATATTCATGAAGGGTGCTGGGACTCTGTTCCTGTTAGGCCTGAATGGGAGAAGCTACTTGATAAATACGACTTTGCTGTTTGTTAGGTATTGTGTTTAAAGATCTGAAGCAAGGAACAATCACGGGATGTTTGGTTTCATTATAATCTTTTGGCTAAGATTTAAAACAGAGCTTCTGGCCATTGATGATCATTAAAGAGCCAGCCTAAGGCATTTTTTGCCATGCCAGGGATGTTCAGCCAATATTCTGTCCAAATTCCAATGCAGACAATTATGGTCTGCCTGGCCTTTCGTCTGGATTTGAAATACTTCTTTCCTGGAATTCTGTTCTAAGATGTTACGGATTGTAAATATGGGATATTAAAAGAGGTGCCTACACTTCAGTGGCAGATTTTATAATTCCTGTTTATCCAGTGTGTAAAGTATTCAAATGTTGGACTTGATTCACCTAGAGTCTTTGCCTAGGGTGACTAGATAGCAAGTATGAAAAATTGGGATGGGGTGGGGAGTAATAAGCACAGTAAGATAAAGCCCCGAATATCGGGACTGTCCCATTAAAATCGGAAGATCTGGTCATCCTATCGCTGCTAGTAATTGTACTAACAAGATATGTGTTCCTATGCTGGTGAGTTATGAGAAATAGGGCTTCAGTATAATTGAAACAGTTATTAGGGTGATCCAAGGAAATGCTAATACCCCTCATAATGTATGCAACTCTGCTTTGATCCAGCCTTCAAAAGGAAGTTCATTGCCATTCACGGCTTTTACACCTAATTTCTCTTCAATATCTAACAGTTCTTCAGTGGGTCTTAAGTCTAGCTCCAGGAAACGGTCCTCTTTCATTTATTATCACTGATTCCTGAGCACCTGTGTCCCATAATGCCATTACTTTCTTGTGGTGGGGATAACAGAGCAAACATTTTTTCCAGTTAACTTGGCCACACTTCCTTGCTGTGTGGGAGCACCTATAGTAAAATGCTGGTGAACCACAGAATTTGGGCAATTCATTGCTATTATTCTGTGGCTACCTGCAGGATGTGGCATACAGTGTTTTCTACAGTGCTGCATCTGACAGTCTATAATTCTTGCTGATATCCTGAACAAAGCATAACCTGGCCAATGCTTTCTTCTTCCCACCGGCAGCAGGAACAAGTATCTTGGGATTTTCCTTTACATTGTTGTTGATCCTCCTGTTTCCCAATTGCTGTGGTTAATCTTGCACATGACATCCTCTTGCTTCACACAACAGTGATCACATCCTTGATTTGAGTTGCCCCATTCACGTTTGTCCCAAATATGCCCCATTTTGACTGCATCTCTGATAACGCCTTTTCATTTGTCCTTTTTGGGTTGCATAGTCAGAGAGAGAGAGAGAGAAAAAATATATATGACTCTATAGCCTAGTGATTAGGGCACTCACCTGGGAGTGAGGACACTCAAGTTTGCGTCCCTTCACCAGTGACTAATAATTATTTATACACAGTGGAAGAAGTTTCAACAGGATAGATTGAGGGACCCCAGCCCCAGACTTCCCTATAGCCCAGGGATGGGTAAACTACAGCCCGGGGACCGCATCCAGCCCTTCAGACATTTTAATCTGGCTCTCAAGTTCCCACCAGGGAGTTGGGTTCGGGGCATGCCCCACTCCGACACTCCAACCAGGGAGCAGTGTTGAGGGCTCACCCTGCTCCACGCAGTTCCCGGAAGCAGCAGCATGTCCCCCCTCCAGCCAATGGGAGCTGCAGGGGTGGCGCCTGCGGTGGGGCAGCACACAGAGTTGCCTGGCCGCGCCTCCGTCTAGGAGCTGGAGGGTGGACATGCTTGAGGTAAATGCTGCCCGGAGCCTGCACCCAATCCCCCCCCCCACGCCCCAACCCCCTGCCGCAGCTCTGATCCCCCTTCCGCCCTCTGAACCCCTCAGTCTCACCCTCCTGCATCCCTAACCCCTCATGCCCAGGCCCACCCCAGAATCCTCACCCCCAGCCGGCACCCTCACCTCCTCCCACACCTCAACCCCCAATTTTGTGAGCATTCGTGGTCCTCCATACAATTTCCATACCCAGATGTGGCCCTTGGGCCAAAAAGTTTGCCCACCCCTGCTATAGCCCAATGACTAGGGTACTCTCCTGTAATATGGGAGAGTTCAAATCCCTTCTCCACATCAGGCAGAGGGGGGAATTGAATCCAAGTTTCCCGCATCCCAGGTGAGTGCCCCTAACTGCCAGGCTAAAAGTTATAAAGTCAACACCACCTCCCCTTCCTCCCTCCCCTCTAATCTTGTGAATGGAGCATAAAAAAATCTGTCTGAAACTATTTGAAACTGTCGAATTCATGAATAGTGTTGGGCTGACTGGAACTGCGTGTTTTGTTTTGTTTTTTTGCAAATACACTACTTGTATAACAAACTTTGCTTATAACAAAGCTCTGTTAGGGGGTATAAACAGCTTTCAATCTCAAGCATCACATTTTGAATCTCTGTCTCTTCAAATATGTCAGACAATAAAGAAAGGTCAAGGATCACGTGAGTCCGCTGCTCAGTGGAGAAGGTGAGCTGGTAACGGAAGGTGATAGGAAGTCAGAGCTCCTCAATGCCTATTTTGCTTCAGTCTTCTCACAAAAAATAACATGTGACTAGATGACTAGCAAAGTTACCATAGATGACAAAGGGGAAGGGATGCAGTTTGGGATAAGTAAAGAACACGTCAGAGATCTTCATTACAAAAGGGAAAAAAGGAGGAGCCAGGGAACTATAGACTAGTTAGCCTGATTTCAATACCTGGGAAGCTACTACAGCAATGTTTAAAACATTGAATTTGCGAATACCTGGAGGATGAAGGGAGGTAATCACTAGCACACAGTATGGATTTATCAAGAAAAATAACGAGTGGGGTCCCACAGGGATAGATTCTGGGTCTGGTTCTGTTCAATATCTTCATCAGTGATTTAGAAAGTGGCATAGAGAGTACACTTATGAAGTTTGCAGACGATACCAAGCTGGGAGGGGTTGTAAATTCTTTGGAGGATAGGATTAAAATTCAAAATGATCTGGACAAACTGGAGAAATGGTCTGAAGTAAATAGGATGAAATTCAATAAGGACAAATGCAAAATACTCCACTTAGAAAGGAACAATCAGTTGCACACATACAAAATAGGAAATGACTGCCTAGGAAGAAGTACTGCGGAAAGGGATCTGGGGGTCATAATGGATCACAAGCTATGTAACACTGTAATCACAACAGTGTAACACAAACATCATTCTGGGATGTATTAGCAGGAGTATTGTAAGCAAGACACGAGAAGTAATTCTTCCGCTCTACTCCACGCTGATTAGGCCTCAACTGGAGTATTGTGTTCAGTTGTGGGCGCCACATTTCAAGAAAGATGTGGACAAATTGGAGAAAGTCCAGAGAAGAGCAACAAAAATTATTAAAGGTCTAGAAATCATGACCTATGAGGGAAGATTGAAAAAAATGGGTTTGTTTAGTCTGGAGAAGACAAGACTGAGAGGGGACATGATAACAAGTACATAAAAGGTTATTACAAGGAGGAGGGAGAAAAGTACATAAAAGGTTATTACAAGGAGGAGGGAGAAAAATTGTTCTTCTTAACCTCTGAGGATAGGACAAGAAGCAATGGGCTTAAATTGCAGCAAGGGCAGTTTACGTTGGATATTAGGAAAAACTTCCTAACTGTCAGGGTGGTTAAGCACTGGAATAAATTACCTAGGGAGGTTGTGGAATCTCCATCATTGGGGATTTTTAAGAGAAGGTTGGACAAACACCTGTCAGGGATGGTCTAGATAATACTTAGTCCTGCCTTGAGTGCAGGGGACTGGACCTCTTGAGGTCCCTTCCAGTTCTATGTTTCTATTCTATGCCAAACCAGCTTGATTTCCTTCTTTGAAAGGGTAACTGATCTGGTAACTGATTTGTGGAATGTGGTGGACATAATATACTGGGACTTCAGCAAGGCTTTTGACATAGTCCCACATGACATTCTGATAAGTCAGCTGGAGAAAGGCGGGCTTGACAGAACTACCATTAAGTGGATAATAATTCTTTAATAGTTACTCTTTGTTTGTGGTTGTTTAATGGAATGATGTTGGATTGGAGAGAGGTCTCAAGTGGGGTTCCACAGGGATGTTGTTTAACATCTTTATTAATGTTCTGGATGTAGGTATAGAGAACATACTGATCAAGTTTTCAGATGACATGAAGGTAAGAGGGTTTGCCAATACTTTGGAGGATAGAGCCAAAATTCAGAGGGATCTTGATACATTGGAGAACTGGGCTATAGACAACAAAATAAAATTCAACAAAGACAAATGTAAGGTGCTACATTTAGGGAAGAAAAAACAAATGCACAAATACAGAATCAGGGATAACTGGCTTGGCAGCAGCACTGCTGAGAAGCATCTGAGAGTTGTGCTGGTTCTTAAATACAACATGAGTCAGCAATGCAATTCTGCTGCAAAAAAAGCAAATGCAATTTTAGGTTGTATGAACAGAGGCATAGCATGCAAGTCATGGAAGGTGATAGTACGGCTCTATTTGGCACCGGTTAGGCCTCAGCTAGAGTATTGTGTCCAATTTTGGTCACCAATGTATAGAAAGGATGTAGAGCAACTGGAAAGGATCCAAAGGTGAGCAACAAAAATGGATGGAATGCAAGCGATATGAGCAAAAGCTGAAGGAACTGGGTATGTTTAGTTTGGAAAAGAGGAGATTAAGGGGGGATATGATAGTGTCTTCAGATACTTGAAAGGCTGCCATAAAAAAGATGGAGAAAAGTTGTTCTGTTTTGCCACAGAGGCAAGGACAAGAGTCAATGGGTTCAAACTTCAGCAAAGCAGATTTAGATTAAATCTCAGAAAAACTATAAGAACAGTAGGACAATGGAACAGACTGCCTAGGAAAGTCCAGAGAAGAGCAGGAAGGTTGTGGAAGCTTCTTCACTGGAGGTTTTCTAAAAGAGGCTGTCAAGTATCAGAGAGGTAGCCGTGTTAGTCTGAATCTGTAAAAAGCAACAGAGGGTCCTGTGGCACGTTTGAGACTAACAGAAGTATTGGGAGCATAAGCTTTCGTGGATAAGAACCTCACTTCTTCAGATGCAAGGGGCTGGTTAGCCATGGATGGTTTAGACACAACAAATCCTGAATCTTGGCTAGGGGTTAGACTAGATGAGCCTTGTGGTCCCTTCTAACCCTATCCTGTTCATCAACACTCCTTTTAAAAAGGCCCAGAACAATTTATCTCAGTGGAACCTCCAAATTTGCTGCCCCTTCAATGACACAACTTGGCTTATGAAGAAGAACTGTAAACCAGTGGGCTAACTCACTAGCACCAAAGAACACTTTCCAGCCACAAAATTTTAATTCCTTTTCTTCAGGGTTTCTCTTTCATTTCTTCAAAACAAAATTATAGTTCAGCATCTGAGTCATATCCCTCTCCCCTGACCCAGGGTCTTCTATCTACTCCCTGCAATTCTTAACTCCACAGACTATCTGCTTGGGAGTCAAGGCAAGCCTCTCTGCTCCCTTCATTACACTGTGCAGACCGTCCTATCTAAACAGTGCTCTTTCCCCTGACCCAGGGACTTTTGCAGGTGCCTTCCTGAGCAACTTGCTGACTTTGATGAAGATTGAGTGAGCTTCAAGCTATTGCCTGACACCTAGCCTCCCGGCATCAGCTGGGAGGCAGCTGTTTATTCACAGGAGGGGGTTAAGCCCAACTCCTTGACTTGTTCTTTGAATTCTAACTTTGCTTGTGAGTTTTCTGCAGACCAAGTCCTTCCATTCCCAGGCTATGTGCTGACTTTCTAACACAGCAGCACACACTGTCCCCAGGACCTATTCTCTATTTTAAGGAGGCTGCTCCTGCTCTCATTATCTTATATGCCTACAATACAAATAAAACAACAAACATGCTCAAACTAGGGTTGCCAACTTTCTGATTGCAGAAAACCGAACACCCTTGCCCTGCCCCACCCCTTCTTTGAGGCCCTGCCTGCCGCTCACTCCATCCCCGCTCCTTCAGTCACTCACTCTCCTGCACCCTCGCTCATTTTCATCAGGATGGGGTAGGGGGTTGGGGTACAGGAGGGGGGTGAGGGCTCTGGCTGGGGGTGCAGGCTCTGGGGTGGGGCTCTGAGCTGGGGGCCAAGGGGTTTGGAGTGTGGGATGGGGCTCCGGGCTGGAGCAGGAGGTTGGGGTCCATGGGGATTAGGACTCTGGCTGGGGGTGCAGGCTCTGGTGTGGGGTTGGGGATGAGGAGTTTGGAGTGTGGGAGGGAGCTCAGGGCTGGGGCGGGGTGTTGGGGTTCAGGATGGGGAGGGAGAGAGGGGTGTAGGCTCTGGGAGGTAGTTGGGGTGCAGGAAGGGTCTCAGGGCTGGGACAGGGGTACAGGAGGGTTTGGGATATGGGCTCAGGGTGGCACTTACCTTGGGCAGCTCCCCAGAAGTGGTGACATATCCCTCTGGCTCCTAGGTAGAGGCGTGGCCACAGGGGCGCTGCGTGCTTCCCCCGGCTACAGGCGTTGCCCCCGCAGCTCCCATTGGCCGCGGATCCTGGCCAATGGGAGCTGTGGAGCTTGTCACTTGGGGCGGGGGCAGCGCACAGAGCCCCTGTGGCTGTGCCTTCGCCTGGGGAAAAGTTGGAGGGAAATGCTTACCGCTTCCGGGAGCCACAGGAAGCCAGGGCAGGCAGGGAGTCTGCCTTAGCCCTGCTGCGCCACCAACTGGACTTTTAATGGCCTGATCAGCAATGCTAACCGGAGCCACCAGGGTCCCTTTTCAACCAGGCATTCCAGTCGAAAACTGGACACCTGGCAACCCTAGTTCAAACACCATAAGAAATTATTTCTCAATATAAACAATATGTATTCATTTCTAAAATTGTCTATTACAGCGTTCTTGCATACACTTGCAGGGTTGAATCTATCCACCATAGAAATGTCTTTAATATCACTGGATAGATGAGTTTCACACAACTATCTCTGGTAAGTGCAAACAGTTTCATGTGCAAAATATGCAGGTCCAAGTTTTAGGGATCAGTTTGCAAACTTGGCCAAGATACGTTGCAAAGCACTGTCCAGACCAAAAATGCTGTATAAACAGAATACCATGTTAACAATCTATTTCTTCTGCATTTGTTTTGTTTGCACAGATCCCATCACAATAGGATCTTCGTCCATGTCTAAGGCTCCTAGGCATTCCAGTAATACGATACAGGTCAGTCTGATACAATATCTGTGTGTTCTGGCTCTGATCAGTTTTGGCTTGTTGTTTTGAGGGGCTGCATACCCCAGTGCTCTACAAATGCAGTACATAAAAGAGATTTTTAATAGTCAGATTCAGCATGATAGTGTTCGAGCTGTCTAATCTGATTGCACTGATGGTTTCTTTGTGCAGTTGGACAGACACCGTTCTGCTGACCCCCTCTGGTGTTCATCCTATCAAACAGCACAGCTATGAGGTTCACCTCTTAGCTTCCTGAATGTTTTTATTTTAACTATTGCCTCCTCTTTCCTTGAGTAGTTCTCTAAAAGGGCAAGCTCACTATAGCTGAATGCCTTTGTTGTCCTTGGCAGCCTGACCCAAATGCAAAGGGAAATAACAGTGATCTCCTATGTTCAGTAACTCTTCTTTTTGACCTTTTTCATAGAAAAATGATAGTCTACAGGGAAAATGACAGAAATGTGTGTGACACAAACAGCCTTGTGGCAGCATGAGAAATTTGTTTCTTTAAAAACATGAATTGTGCAATATGCTGAGATAGGCTGAAGGAAAGAATTTTTAAAGATTCAGTTTCATGGCTAAGGTCCAGCTAAGGCATCCATACTTCATAATCTGCTCTTAAAAGCTATCAGCTTCATCCAAACGGGAACCAAAGAAGGAGCGCCTTTTGGTTTGGAGTCTGCCCAAAGCCAAAAACAACAATTTTCAATTCAGAAATTCAAATCCAACAGCCCCCGTCCCCTGCAATATTCAGATGATTTTGGTTTGAAGTTCCTATGTTGGTACACCTCTAATTGTACACAAAGGAGGAGGAATTACATCTCCTGATAGTAACAGATGATAAAAGGATACTATCAGAATTTTTAAGCCTAACAATTAATTATCTTGGGCGTAGCCGTGTTAGTCTGAATCTGTAAAAAGCGACAAAGAGTCCTGTGGCACCTTATAGACTAAGAGATGTATTGGAGCATAAGCTTTCGTGAGGCTTATGCTCCAATACGTCTGTTAATCTATAAGGTGCCACAGGACTCTTGATCAATTAATTATCTGTGACCCTGGTTTATATAGAAGTTTTTAGCTTTGAAGATTCTAATTGGAATGATTTGCATTGTTGTCCTTAAACCAATCTCTGTTGCAATGTCATTCTTCTAATGTTAAAAAACAAAAAAACATCACCATTCAATTTGCTTTGTGTACCTGGTCAGAATAAAAACAGAACATACGTGCTATGACACCAACATGGAGGAAGGAGAAAGAGTCCCCAGTGCTCACACAGTTTTCTCTTTATGTTACAGTAGCAGTAAAAAAAAAATTTAAGATGCTTGATTACTATTTGGAGTTAAGCCCATGGGACAAGGGTCGCTTTAAATCCTGCCTACATTTAGGGTGAAGTCAGGGGAGATATAGAAGTCTACAGCCAGTGTGAGATCTGAATCAGGCCCTTGAAATAGAGTTTGGAAGAAGTTACAGAATTAGGGCACTATCCATTTGAACATGGCTTTCAGTGTTGCAAAAGGCCTAGAAAGTATGAGATTCTATTGCTGTAGCAGCTTGATATAGTCAAAGGAAAGCTTTCCCTGCCTCAAACGCGCAAGTGCTAAATAAGTAAGTTCAAAACAAAGCTCTCCTTCATGGCTGTAATTTGGGAAGTCACCTGAGATGAACCGCATGCAAATGAGCTACCCACTTTTTGTGCTCATGTATTTTCTATCTTGCTATCACAGTCCCCCCTCACTTGGAGATGTGACTACATGGATCCATCCGCTTACAGGTGATAGTAGAAAACACGAGAAGGACTAGTATTGCTCCAAGACTATTTTTGTGGGAGCTGCATCTTGCATGTTTTCCATGTGGGAAGTCATACATACATAATGTCCCAAGCAATGCAATGTGCTCCTGCTTTTATTTTAAATATCTGTTCTGCACATACTCAACATTGCCAACTGCAAGCCTTCAAAAACCATGAGTCAGCCCCCCCAAAATCATTAAATTGGCTTAAAAATACAGTTGGGATTAATTTAATTTCTTTCTGGCTTTTTGTGCCTTTAGGTTTCACATTTTCTTTACAACTATAAGTGCTAGAAACTTATTTTTAAAAATGAAACCTGACATTCTCACATAATCACATGAATCCAAGAGCTGGGGCTTTAAGAAAAACACCAAATATATTCTGATCCGTGATGAAATCACATAAGTGGGTAACGTTGTATACTCTACATCTGCCTGGATTCTGGTCCAAGCTGCACAAAGCATTTCACTTGAGATAAATGTCGTACCCTATCTAGGTTGTAGTGAGGGGTCGGCAACTTTTCAGAAGTGGTGTGCCGAGTCTTCATTTATTCACTCTAATTTAAGGTTTCACATGCCAGTCATACATTAAAATGTTTCTCTTTCTATAAGTCTATAATATACAACTAAACTATTGTTGTATGTAAAGTAAATAAGGTTTTAAAAATGTTTAAGAAACTTCATTTAAAATTAAATTAAAATGCAGAGCCCCGGACCAGTAGCGAGGCAGTGTGAGTGCCACTGAAAATCAGCTCAGGTGCCGCCTTCAGCACATGTGTCATAGTTGTCTACCCCTCTTGTAGTGTATTGCTGTTGATAACTGTAAACAACTGCTACATACTGCCCCATCCCCAGAGGTGGCTGCATTTCAATTATTCTCATATATAGCTTGTAACACACTCTTGGATCCTTTGACATGAAAGATGCAATAGAAATGCAAGTGAATCATTTATTATTATTATTATTTATTATTCTGTACCTCCCTTTAGAATCCGTTAGCAGAATTAGCAGCTTGAATGGTGACAAAAAAAAAAAAAACCTCCGAGCACGTCAATAAACTTGTCATTTTTTAATCACAAGTAATCTAACATAAATTGCCAGGATTTAGTTTGTTAAAAAAAACCCAACAATATTCTTTAGTGCTACAATGATGTATGAAAAAAAACATTCTTTGGTTTCAAAGAAACTTTCTGAAAACCACCAAGTATGTTATTGAGAAATCTGGCAATAGGAACATGGATGCAACTTACCGGAATGCAAAATGCAAGGACACGAAACACAGTGAAATTTAAAAGGCAATAGTTTAGACAGATGGCTGAGCAGAAGCAGTCTGCATTGCCATGGAGAAAATCCTGATACAGTCCTCAGCAATCGGTTCTCAAACTAGCAAGAGTGGGCTGCTATGCAAGAATCAGAGTCAGCCACGGGTATGTTGCAGTATGTCTGCTTCCTAGGAAACAGTGGTGTAGCAGGGTGAGCTATTTTGGCTTCCTTGCGGGTGGGGGACTGTCTATGGAATTTGGTCTGCCATTTGCTTTTGGTTCACCAGTCCTTTTAGTAACACATGGCAAGATCTCTCTGCATTTAAAAATCAGAGTGTGTAATGGCACCTCTACCTTGGGAATTATGGCTTTATTGGGTTCAGAAGGGGGTACAACAGATCAGCCAGTATCTTCGAATTCCTACCTCCCACTCTGTATTTACTCCCACTCTGTTGGGGAGGAAGGTCTCATGTTCCCCATCTGCATCCCCTATGGGGAATTACGGAATAACACGACTGAATTCTAGAGGTTCCTTTCTATTTTGCCATCATTCTAGGCTTTGTCTACATGCAGAGTTGCACTGCTATAACAAATGGTGTGATTTTAAACCAATTTATTGGACTTCCCCCTGAAGCAGATCATGAAACAGAAAGTTTGTGGATTTTGCCCTCCCTTGTTTTGGCCTTTGAGAGAGGAGATGGCCCTAAATCAGGACAGCACCTTGGTCATGGCTGCTTGGTTGACCCTTTCTTGGAGAGATCCTCACTGTAGGGTCTGTGGAAAAAAGATAAGGAAAGTATCATTATAAACACAGCTGCATGTAGGCTCCACTCTCTCCCCTTGTATGGCCACAAGAGCATTTTCCACCGAGTCTAGCAGAAGGGTGGAGAGGACTACTGGTAGGCTGAGCCCTCCTCCTATGCAGGAGGTGGGAGACACATGGGCAGAAGTTCTTCACTATTCACAGTTATGGGGAGGGGTGACAATTTTCCTCTTAGTGTTTCTAGAGGAACACAAAACTTAAATAGGGGAAGTGAATGAAAGGGCTCTAATCACATGGCAGATACATGGAAAGCAAATGTTAACATAGGCTGTAAGTAAAACATGGTTTTGTGTTCATGGTTGGCAGATGACTGATATTCAGTGAGCTGGGTCAAATTCTTGGCTCTGCTGTTGAGTCACTCAGTGACCTTCAGGAAGTGATTTAATCATGGACTCAATCCTGTTAAGTTTCAGAGTAACAGCCGTGTTAGTCTGTATCCGCAAAAAGAAGAACAGGAGTACTTGTGGCACCTTAGAGACTAACAAATAACAAATTTGTTAGTCTCTAAGGTGCCACAAGTACTCCTGTTCTTCAATCCTGTTAGGCACTGAGCACCTGCTGAGAACTCGGCTCCTATTGAAGTTTAGGTCTCTTATTGCATCTCAGTCCTTCACAGGCTCAGGCCCTGCCCTATGTGAAATAACTTACTTGAATGTGGCTCCTTGCCTTGTAACTGCATGAAAATGGAATTCGAGAACCCCTAGCTGTTGATGTCATCAGCAATTAAGCGATGTGAGTGCCTGCTAGGGAGATGTGTGGGAAAGCCTGCAATGGAGATACAGCGCAGACTCACCCATACAGCACCTCCTGCTGGTCATCCTCAGGAATTAGCTCTTCAACCCAGGAGCACCCTCTGCAGGCCAGTGATCCACTTGCCATTGCCCCCCCCCATGTCCTTATCTCAGGGTTCTGCCTCTTACAGTACCCCAGTGTCTTACTGGGTTTCCACACCCCAGGTGTTCCCCTGGGGTGTGAAAACCTCAGGTCACCACAGTCATGGCTACTCCCAGTCACCACAGTCATGGCTACTGCCAGTCTCTGTTTAGCCCTCACGCCCTGGAGCAAACTGCAGTCTATCAGTCGATCATCACAGGCAACAAAGGGTTTGGACTGGCTACCTTTACCCACCCTCCAGCTGCCCCTCTGCAAGCCCAATACCTAGGAGGCCTAGAACTAGGCCCTGCAGCATGGGGAGTTGCTGGCCTAGGGCTTCCCAGCTCCTAAGGCCCGGTGCTGCGTTGAATTTCCCAGCCAGCCAGCCAGCCTCCCTCTCAAGTCAGAGAGAGGCTACTGCTTCTAGCTTCCCTGGCCGCCTTATAAGGCCCAGTTGCTTAGTTTGGGGCGTGGCCCCAGCTGCAGCCACTTCCCCCAATCAGCCAAGGATTTGCTCCCTTCCCCAGCCCCAGCCCTCTGCAGGGCTTTTCCAACCCCTTCCGGGCTGGAGCGGGTGTTCACCCCACTACAGTACCAAATAATGGACTAGTTTTGCTGAAAGAGACTAGAACAGAAGCATTCAGAACTCACATTGTGAAACAAATTACAGGCTGACACATATCTACTAATAATCTATGATATGGTACAATAGACAGGAATAGCTCAAAACCCCCATGGCTGAAGAAGGGGGAAGTGAGTGTTACAATGGAAGAGCACTTTCACATACACCAATTATACAGCCACTGTATGCATGTTCAGAATTTTAGGTTCTGCCAGGTGCAGGGGGATTTGCCAATGTACACAGTATGTGAAAGCAGGGAGTTCCGTAGACAAATGGTTTCCTCTCCACGCTGCCGTGTGGGGAGCGTGGTGGAGTTGTAAGCTGAAAATGAGGTAGGACCTCAGGAGGGAAAGAGATGGGACTGACATGACTGAGTAGATTGCCATTTATGAATGGAAAAGTATAGGTGTACAAGATTATTTTGCCATATGGCATGTCTAAATTTTGTAACCTTCTAGCTAACACTCTCTTGGACAGCAGTATTGAAGTAGGGAATGTAGTCTTCACAAGGATGAACTAATCTGTGTAGGCCTGGCTTGACATGAGTAACTGGACATGGGTCTCATTTCTTGGGCGATAAATGGATCAGTAGGCTGGAAACAGACTGTCTGTACTAGCTAAGATAATGGGGAACCCCCAAGAACCTTTTACAATGGACAAGATAACAATGGATAAGGTAAGTCAGGAATGTAAAGATGAGGTAAAGGGTACAACAGACACCATTGAGCCATGTTATTTCAGGATCTTCAAACAGAGTTATCTTATATATTATAATGCAAACTCTGCTTTCATTGAATTCAATGAGATTCAGCTGGTGTGAATGAGAACAGAATTTGGCCCCATATTTTCTACAACACCTAGTCCCAGAAGTAGGGAAAGCAAAAAAGATAGGGTTTCAGTCTTGTGTGAATTTTATTTTTTTCACTTTTTTACATTTAGGCTAATACTACAAATTAACAGAGCTGTTTCATGTGTCTTCCTTATCTGAGATGACCTTGGAGCCATTTTACTTTGATGACTTTGTCAGATCTGAATGTATACAGAAACTTCGAAGAAAATCATTACTCCCCCCCCCCCCTCCCCCGGATTTTTACTTAGTGGAAATAAGGGCAAAGACTTAGAAATAATTACTCCTCTATAGTGGAGCATTATGAAGAATGTAATTAAGACAGGGAAGTCTAGAAGAGTACAATGGAAAAAAATTATGCAGTACTTAAACATTAAAGAAAATCACAAAACTAGCTAAGGGGAAAGAACGGGAATAAATTATACATGGATTAAATTCTCAGAGTTATTCAGAATTTGTAGCAATTGAGCAGACTAATTCAGAGACTTATGTGAAAGTGTCTTAATAGCACTGTAATTGACACTGTGTTAACATTCTTTTCTTTCATAAAGCACCAGGCCTGGTTTGTACTGCAAGGAACAGACTGCATGGCTGTACCATTCAGTATATGTCAGTCTCTTCGCTTTGGCAGATAGTGAAGAACAACGGCACTATAATTGCTCTAGATAATACTCTCTTTGCTACAAGACAATGGGGCAGACGTATCCAAATGTTTGAACTAGCATTATGAAACAAATGACATTTTGGCATATTTACCAATAATCGCTCTCATTTACTACAATAGACTAGCCAGTGCTACTACATGCAGCTGCTCAAACACTTGTGCCTGGGAAAGAAGGAAACAATTTAAAAATAGGAGTGTGTTCATGTTTAAAAATTAAGCAGGCTCTTTGGCAATTATTTCCACAAACTTGAAGAATAATCTGACATCCAGATATCTCCTTTTTATGTTCATCTGTTTTATTAAGTAAACATTTAATAGAACAACTGTAGCCTGCAGCTCTTACTTGCATGTGAAGTCCCATTGACTTTAATGAGACTTTACTCATGTGACTAAAGGCTGCAAGACCAGGGCTACTGTGCACTCACCACACATCAAAATTTTCAAATGTAGGCGCTTAAACCCATATGTATACACGTAACACTAGACGCCTGATTTTCAAAAGGTGTCAAGTACACACAACTCCCATTGAAGTTGATGGGGTTGCAAAGGCTCAGGACTTATGTAAATCGGGGCCTCTCATTTAGGTGATTAAATATTGAATGAGGTGCCTAACTTTAGGAAATCAAGTCTGAAATTTGTATCCTCACTTTTTTTATCAAATGACACAGACAAGACAAGGATTAAAGAATCAAAGTTATAAGGTTATTACGAATGAACATCTGAACAGGGTAGATTAACAATGGTTTCAAAGTAAGCTGAGGCTGGAATGATTCCTATTGATTTAAATGGGCTTTGCCTCAGACTCTAAATCATTATTTGCTGTACATTGAGATTCAAATGACATGATCCTGTCCCTATAGAAATCAATGGTAAAATTCCCCATGTCTTCATTAGGATCAGATTCCAGACTCCAAATTATTCAGAAAGATACGACCATTTTATCCACTTTTCAAATAAAAAGCAACAGAGGGTCCTGTGGCACCTTTAAGACTAACAGAAGTAGTGGAGCATAAGCTTTCGTGGGTGAATGCCCACTTCAACAGACGCAAGTGAAGT